TGGAGTCTGATTGACTTTGCATTTTCCATGCCAAACTCTTTATGAGCTCCTTAGTATACTTGGTTTGGATAACAAAATTTCCTTTAGGAGACTGTTTGATCTGAAATCCGAGAAAGAATGTCAATTCTCCCATCATGCTCATTTTGAATTCTCCTTTCATGGAAAGAGCAAAATCTTCACATAAAGCAGAGTTAGGACTAGCAAAAATAATGTCATCAACATAAATTTGAGTAATCAGATTACCTGAACTAGAATGCTTAATAAAAAGGGTTGTATCGATATTACCTCTTTTGAACCCTTGATTTAAAAGAAAAGAGCTTAACCTTTCGTATCAGGCACGCAGAGCTTGTTTGAGACCATACAACGGTTTAGTCAGCTTGTATACATGATCAGGAAAGGTAACGTTTGCAAATCCTGGTGGTTGCTTTACATATACTTCTTCAGAGATGTAGCCATTTAGGAACGCACTTTTAACATCCATTTGAAACAACTTGAAACCTTTATGAGCAACAAAAGCAAGTAATATACGAATGGATTCAAGTCTTGCTACAGGAGCAAAGGTTTTGTCATAGTCGATTCCTTCTTGCTGAGAGTATCCTTGAGCAACCAATCTTGCTTTATTTCGAACCACTTGACCTAATTCATTCAATTTGTTTCTGAATACCCATTTAATTCCAATAATTAAGGAGTTGGAAGGTCTTGGAACCAGTTCCCATACTTTGTTTATTTCAAATTAATCTAGTTCCTCTTTCATAGCACTTATCCAGTGAGTATCTTTCAGAGATTCATCCACTTTCTTTGGCTCAAGTTGAGAAATGAGAGTCACATGAGATTTGTTTTCCTGAGATCTTCTTGTAGTGATTCCTTCCTGTGGATCTCCTATAATAAACTTGTGAGGATATCCAGGTTCGCTTTTCCATTCATTTGGGGTGTTTGAGGGAGGATCTCTTTCTACATTAGTCGACTGGTCTATTTGAGGTGATTCGTGAATTTCTACAGACTCTTCAGCTGGTTGAGTTTGCTGATCAGCTGATTCACTTTGATGATCCTTTCTTGTGATGACAGATTTAGGGACAAAAGGAATTTCCTCATCTTCAGGAAGTTTTTCATTCCTTGGACGAGGGTTAGTATCAACAAAAACAACATGAATTGATTCTTCAATGCAAAGAGTTATTTTATTGTAAACTCTATATGCTCTACTTGAAGGAGAGTAACCAAGAAATATACCTTCATCACTTTTAGGATCGAACTTACCCAAATTATCCTTTCCATTGTTTTGAATGAAGCATTTGCATCCAACAGGGTGAAAATAGCTAATATTGGGTTTCTTACCATTCCATAGTTCATAAGGAGTCTTTTTGAGAATAGGTCGAATCAGACACCTGTTGATAACAGTGACAAGTTGTGCTTACCGCTTCTGCCCAGAAATGGTGAGGCAGAGAATTTTCCACAATCATGGTCCTTGCCATGTCCTGTAGGGCTCTATTTTTACGCTCTACTACTCCATTTTGTTGCGGAGATCTTGGTGAAGAGAAGTTATGAGAGATTCCTTGATCGTTGCAAAAGTTTTCAAAAGCTCCGCTTTCAAATTCTCCTCCATGATCACTTCTGATAGAAGATATGTAGTAACCCTTTTCTCGTTGAACCTTCTTACAGAAAACTTCAAAATTCTTTAGAGCATCATCTTTATGACCCAAAAACATAACCCAGGTAAATCTAGAGAAATCATCCACAATAACAAAAGCATATTTTCTACCACCTATACTAGCAGTTCTAGTTGGACCAAATAAATCCATATGCAATAGTTGGAGAGGTTTTGAGGTGGAAACAAAATTTTTGATTTCGAAAGATGAGAAAGTTTGTTTTCCTAGTTGACATGCATCCACAAATATGATCCTTTGAAAAATCTAGTTTAGGAAGTCCAATAACGAGATCATGTTTAGAAAGCTTTTGAATAGTATGCATGCTGGCATGTCCAAGTTTTCTATGCCAGACCCAGGAATCATCAATTATAGAATCAAGACAATTTTGATCCCCAAGATTATCTAGGTTGCTAATAGTATAGACATTTCTATCTCTGTTACCTGAAAGAATGACTTTAAATGATTCATCTTCTATAAACCAACCATGTTTCTTAAAACAAACCTCGTAGTCATTGTTACATAGTTGAATAATACAGAGAAGATTGTAGCCAAGTTCATCAACCAGGTAGACTTCATCTACATCACATGTTGAGCTTAGAGGAACTTTTCCGACACCAATTACATTTCCCTTGGATTTGTCTCCAAATGTGAATGTTCCTCCGTCTAGTTTAGTGACTGTCTTGAACAATTGTTTGTCACTAGTCATGTCTAGAACACGCGCTGTCGAGATACCATTTTCCTTTTCGATTCTTCTTGCGGTGTTCCTGTAAAACAAAATTACTTATTTTTAGGTACCCAAGCTTGCTTGGGTCCTGAAAGGTTAGAATGCTGAGTGTTAGTTTGATTTGAAGATTGTGGTCGCAGACCCATCTTCTGTTATCCTTAAACCTACAACGATTTGAGGTGTGTCCCTTTTTACCACAATAAAAACAAGATAGACTATTTGAATTTTCAGAATGTTTTTCTGCCTTGATTTTGTTCCTGCATTGGTTAGTATTATGCCCATTTTTACCACAAAAGGAACACCCATGAGATTTCTTCTGTTTGTGACGAACAGTCTGATTTGATTTGACTGGACTGAACTATGACTAGTGGATTTTTGCAATTCATTTAATTGAAGTTGAAGTTCATTAACTTCTTCCTGTAGCATATCACGTTCAATTTCACAAACTTCTAGCTTCAAGGCCCATTCTTTCTTTTCTCTTTGAATCTTTCCAAGTTTATTTAGAACTCTTTCAATATCTACAAGAGCAATATCTACGAATTCTTGGAGTTCATAACAATTAGAGCAATTTAGGGGACGTACCTCACTAGTTCCCTCGTTTGCCATGAGACCAAGTTGATCTGAGTCTTCTTCATTTGTTCCTCTGTTTCCTGATAACCCACGCTCTCCTGATTCTTCATTGCTATCATCTTCTATGGCCATGAAGCACATATTTGAAATTTCTTCATGATCAGACTCTTCTTCATCACTCCAGGCTCCAAAAGACTTCTTCCTTTGAAGATTCCTACTCAGCTTCTTCTTTAGTTCTTGACAGTCAGCTTGAATGTGTCCATGTTTACCAAATTCGTAGCATCTTCCATCATTTTCATTGTTTATCCTTCCCTTTCTGAAGTTTGGTTTACCTCTTCTGCTATTTCTGTTTTTCTTCATCATGCTAGTTACAACTTGAGAAAGCATGGCTATATTTTCATCCTGTTCTCCTCCTTCATTTTCCTCTTCATCTTCTGGTTCATCCACAGTTGCTTTGAAGGCGACTGTTTTCTTCTTTTCTTGTTGAATATGTCAATCCAAGTAAGTTTTCTCAAACGCTATTAGATCACCTCTATGTTCATCATAGGACATTTTATGAAGATCCTGACATTCGAGTGCGATGACCTTTGGCTACCAAATCATAGGTAGACTTCTGAGAATTTTTCTGTCTTGTTCTCTGCTTTTTATTGTTCTACCAAAGGATTTTAGATCTCCAAGAATTTTGCTGAACATGGAGAAAATTTCTTCAGCAGATTCTCCGTCCTTTATTTGAAATAGCTCATACTCACGAACCAATAGATTTATCCTCGTTTCTTTTACCTTATTGGTTCCTTCATATGTGACTTCCAATTTGTCCCACATCTCCTTAGTAGTTTCACAACTTGAGATCTTTTCATATTCTTCGCCACTGATACCATTGTACATCAAATTTTTTGCTTTGGCATTCACATTTATGACAACAGCTTGCTCATCAGTGTAGTCATCTAAGTCAAGTGGATACTATTACTTGACCATTTTCATCTTTCTTTGGGGGAATTGGAAGATTTTCCTTTTTGATCACTTGCCAGACTTTGATGTCATAAGGCATGGTGTATGTTTCCATACGCACTTTCCAATGAGAGAAGTGTTATCCACTGAAGTATGGTGGTTGAACTTGAGAGGTTCCCTCTTGAAATAGTGCACCAACGACGGTCTTTGATCCCATGATCTTTTCCTCACTAGCTGTTAAGCAAAGTTTGTGAGCCTTGCTCTAATACCAATTGAAAGTACAAGACATGGGGGGGGGGGGGTGAAATGTGGTCTATTAAAAATTAGTCGACTAACGATGATTTTAGTTGACTAGATCGAGAGCAGAATGTAAAATAACAGTAAATAGAAAGAGAATGACACACAACAATGTTATACTGGTTCGGTACCGGTGTGGTACTTACATCCAGTTTTTCTTGGGTCACAAGGGTTCCCTTTAGATCTTGAGAATATTACAACAAGGATGGTTTTGATTCGTTCACCACTAACTAAGTACATCAACGGTGAATCTATAATAATGATACAACTCTCTTTTGTGTTCTAACTCTTCCTATCTTTTGAGACACTGATAAACTCAAGATTACAGTGTTTAAGCTAAGAAGTAGAGAGACTTAGAAAACAATGTTTGTAGTTGCGCAATCTTAGCAGCCTTCTTATAGGAGAGGAAAAGAGCCATTGAGTCTTGACCAGAAAAAGAGGCACGAGATCTTTAAAAGGATTTGACTCAAGGGGTGCCTCTTCGAATCCTGCTTTTGGGAAGGGCCGGATTCGATCGTGACTTTCCTTGTCACAACTTTCATTTACGAGACAATCAAGCCTTTGACTGAGCTTTAATTAAGGATACTGAATATTTGCTGGTAATAACTCCTTGATTGGTAATCGATTTCCTTGATTGAGGTCGAGTAGATCTGTAGGCTTTTGATTCCTTCTTCAGGTCCATTGATATAGCAATCACAACTTTAGATAGCTTCTCATTGATTTTCTTTCCTTTGATGATTCCTGCGAAATAGGGTAATTGAACATTTTCATCATTGAAACCTTGGAATTTAACTTAACACCTGGAAGATTTTGAAGTCATGAAAGTAGTTGGGCAGGGTGCATTTGGGAAAGTGTATCAGGTGAATAGGAAGGGAACATCAGAAATTGATGCAATTAAGATCATGAGGAATGATAAGATTATGGAGAAGAACTATGCTGAATATATGAAAGATGAGAGAGATATCTTGACAAAGATTGATCACCCATTTGTTTTCCAGCTCAGATACTCATTCCAGGTAATATCTATACTTTCTCATTTAATAGTTGTTCAATCACTGAACAACCATATAGAAATATTTGTATTGAACTTTTGCTTGCAAAAGGATAATTCTCAGCATTCTTTAGTGCTTGTATGAACTGAATTTCAATCATATTATGTAGCTCTTTTAGATAATGAGTTGCTAAATTTTTCATGTGTTTGACCTATAGACAAAATATAGACTTTACCTTGGGTTTGACTTCATCAATGGTGGGCAACTCTTTTTTCAGCTTTACCATCAAGGCCTTTTCAGGTAGATTTGTTGTGGACCTGTACCCATTTTCTATACTTTGTCGGTCATGGAGATATTTGTTTAAGTCCTTTTGTCTTTCTCAGAGCGGATCTGGCACGAATATATGCAGCAGAAATTATACCAGTTGTGCCTCACCTCCCTGCAAATGTCATAAATGCACAGGGATCCCAAATCGAAAAATTTTTACCGGATGTGGATGGTCATATATATTGACAACTCCTTTCGTTTCTCTCTCACATTGCCATTGCCTTACTTTCTTGGCATATAATACTACTATCTTCAACTTGCTATCCTTGTTCTTATACTTATTGTCGCGCCCCGTTTTTCTCGCGAAATCGGGTTTCGATATTTTCTGGGATAACTCCTTTCCGTGAGGGTAGGGAATTGGATTTGAAAGAGTCGCCACCTAACGGATTAAGATGCGTTAGGGCACCTAGAGCAATTAACTCATATAACCAGTTTACATCACCAGAGATCGGGTAAAGGCTCGAAATTACCTTGAGGGGAAGGTATTAGGTACCCCTTGATGTCCACAATGGTGGGTCCCGACCGAACTTAAATTAAGAGAATTAGTCTTCAAAGGGAAGAAAGCAATTTGGACAGATACAATACACAACTTATTTTTACACAGGAGTATAGGGGGTGGTCCTAAGTTTTTTAGCCTATAGGATCATTCCAAGCAATGCTTTGCAACTCCCTCAAGTCGGGGTTTTACTCATAGCATTAGCGCATGGGCTATCATTTCCTTTACTATCCAATTACTATCTTCAAGTTCTTACTTAAGCGCTCTAATAGCTTCTAACTCGCGCCTTGTGCGTGTACTACCCATCCCTTACCTATGGTCCTGGAGGTATTAGGACCTCTATTCAAGGTGGTTCTAGACTGACCTATGTTGCTTAAAATGAAAAAAGCTAGGCGACAAACAAAATTCAGATAGGACTTCATGTAAAGAACAAATAGGGGGCTCACATTGACCTCCACAAGTAGACAACAAATGCACGCAATTCAATCAGCAGATTTCGTTAATTTAGGATCCTATAGGTAGGATATCTAGATAAGCAGAATAGAATATAAAGAAACAGTTTATTAAGGCGAGCATCGGGACCTATTGGTTTGCCTACTGATTTTATGAAGCTTTGAATCTGGGCGTTTTCAGGCAGTAAGATATCAGAGTTTTTAAACCTAGAATCAATAGCGAGTCCTGTGGACACATTGCCTAAGTGATTTATAAGAGCTCTTGAATTCAGAATAGATTAACAGGATCCTATAGGCATGATTTCTACGAGTTTGTTAATGACAGACCTATAGGCATGATTTCGAAGTGTAACACTGATTTTAACTCATAAAGACAGTTTCATTTCTTTTAAATCCTATAGGCATGCTTTCTAATTGCTGAATATATTTAAACCCCTATAGGCATGATATCTATTATTTTTAAAAATCCTGTAAGCATGATTTCTAGGTTTTGAAACTGATCCCTTTTATTCTTATAGGCATGGTATCTAAGTTGAAACTGATTTTATCTCCTATAGGCATGATTTCTAAGTTGAAATTAATTTTTTATTTCCTATATGCATGATATCTATTAATCGTACGTGGGCAGAATTTTAAGCAACTTGCCAGGAAAGTTATTATTCAAACAGATAGAATCCTATAGACATGGTCACTAATGCATGTATGTTATAAAATGTGCACGGATCCTATTGACAGGATTTCTAATGCAGGGGGTCTATAAATAGGATTTCTAGTATGCGAGTAAAATACAGAACAAAACAATTGGAAAATCCTATAGGCAAGATCCCTAAACAAGTAATAGCATTCAATCAACATAATAAACCTATAGGCAGGATTTCTACCCAAGTTTAAAGATATAAGAAATCCCCCCCCCCCTCCCGATTTTACTAATAAGCCTCAAATCTATTTATTACAGAGATTATTACAGCCCAGAATGAATAAATTACATAACAGTATCCATTACACTATAGGGAGCCTTAGCAGGCCCAAAAACCTGGGAACCAGGCCTTCAAACATAGCAACTTTGAAGCATAAAGGAGGATCCATCCATGGCACATAGGATTAGGTTCCTAGTGTGTCAAAGTTTCCAAGGGCCTCAGGGACCCCGGGCAATGCTCACACCAGGACCACACTTAAAGAAACAGTTCATAAAAGATTGGAAGACCAGCCCCACTGTGTCAGAGTTCGGAGGAGTCTCAAGGACCCTAGGCAGTGCTCACATTGGGGGTGGTAGGAACCTAAATAACTAAGAGTAGAAGTTTGAAAACCAGTACATAGAGGGTAAGGGGGGACATGCTTAGAAACCAGTACATACAGAATAGCAACAGAACTGCACCAAGGAACAAACAAAATTCATGTTCAGCATATAGTTCGAACAAGTTTGCAGTTTTGATTAGGCTAGATGTTAATATTAAACAACCATGGATTAAGAACATAAACAATTAGTAAACAAACATGACACATGAATTAGCCACACATTGATCACATGTTTCTAGCAAAGTTCATAACAGGAACTGAATTAGGAAGAGTTTTATAGTATTGAAGATAGCTTAGCTTAACAGCATCATTAAGTGGAATCAGGCAGTCACATAGCAAACAGAATCATGCTGCAATTTGAAATAGACTAATTGAATAAAGCATATAGAACAGAATGAGATACTAGGAGTTAAGGGACACCAGTTGAGAAGAAAGCAAACAGGAATGCAATAGCAATTTGAATCCAGAGAATCTAGCCTTGGCTTTCAGCCGGCCAAACAGTGCAGAATCAGAACGATAGAAAGAGAGAGCTTAAGTTTTTGAGAACAGAGAGTTTGAAAGTTATAAGGTTGTTCAGTGAAGAAGTTGTAAAGCGTGTAAGTGTCTTCGCGTGTAAAATCAGGACAAGGGAAAGGCTTTTATAGCATGCAATAGAGTAAAACAAATATGGTATAAAAATCAATTACACACAAATAAGGTATAAAAATTAATTAATCAATCAATTAAGGTCAGTCATGAATCAATTAATAGGATAGAATAAGTAATTACCACTTAATTTAAGGAAGATCTCACACGGAATCAATTAGTAACTAAGAATGAGGTTAAATAAAGTAATAACTAATTCCAAAATCAATTAGGAGTCAGTAACACAAAATCAGCCAGTAGTATGGGTACACAAATAAGGTAAGAACAAGTAAGAACTTAATAAGGAAATACGGGTACTAAATTCAAACCCTAATTTAGGCAAGTAAATCAATTAACACTTTAATTGACAGAGCTAAGGTAAACGGGCAAGAAAAGTAGAATAAATGGCCAAATAATCGAAACCCTAGGAACTACAAAGGCAGATATATGGAGCTTAATTAAATTAAGTAAAAAATCATTCAAAAAAGTAAATAAAAATTAGAGATGAAACCACTTAAATATTTAAAACATTTTTTTTATAGAAATGCATTAGAACCAAAACCCTAGCTTTTAGGGTAAATGAAATCGGTCAACAATAATAGTAAAAGCAGAAAATTTTAAGGGAAAAATACCAAACAAAAACAAAATCGCTCCAGATCTAAAGAGATCTAAACGGACTCAACCAGAAATAGCTAGGTTCATGAAAATAGACTGAAGCGAATCAAATCTGGTTTGAACCAGAGATTTGGAACCATAAAAATACCAAAACATTCGTGCTTATAGATTTCGGAGTGAACATAGACGGAATAGTCGAGAAAAGAGAGACTTTGAACCAGATTTTGTTCGAGTCTTTGAGATTCATATCAAGCAACATGAAAATCATAAGACCAGTAGAGAGATGAGGCCGGATAAGGCATGAAACCGAAGGAAGACCCCATGAATCAAGGGAGATTTGTTGCGACGGGATAGGGTTAGAAGGGGGTGAGAGAGAGAAGGGATCTAGAGGCGGCGGGTTGGGGGGAAATGAGGGTAGGGTCTAGGATTAGTATAATTAAAAAAGGATGGTCGATCCTGGACCGTTGATCTTCTGAGATCAACGGCCAGGATTAATTTTAGGCTGGGGCGGGTTATTGGAAAGGTAGGGTGAATCGCGCAGCGGACTCGACCTTAGGAATAATGGGCGCTAATACTTTTACCCAATAGTGGTATCGGGGTCAATATCCACAGGGAGCTAGAAAGGGAGTTGGATATTTGCTTAGCCTAGAAATGCGTGTTTGCTTCTAATTGATCTTCTATCATTTTTGGGTTTTTATGATTATCAACTACAATTTAACAACTACTAATTATAACTAATTTATGCTAAGATATTAATTCTAGGTTGTATGCAAGATAGAGAAAGACACTAGGGTCGTGGCATTTACCTAGGTGGTCAACTAACGGGTAGAGATTCCTAATACAAGAATGATGATTATAGGGCTTATGCTATAACCGTTGCACGATTGCACTCACTCTCACACCTCTCGGTAGAAAGAGTGATTTTGCCCAATTGACTCTCTCGAGACCAATTGGGTAGGCCAACAAGCCCAAGCAACTTAGGGTTCAAGTTGGGTAATTACTCTCTCGAGGTTTAACCCGTTAATTGGGACTACCATTCTCATGGGTCCATCCCTGGAGTCATAGACACTCTTTCTCTAGAAGAGTCAAGACCCACTAAGCTAGACTTAGTGTTTGCAACCACCAAATCCTAGTTAAATCATAAAATTAACCCAAATAGCAAACACCCAACATCATTCAAGCATTAAACAATCACACCCATTAATCACCCACACTAGGGTTGAGCCACAACCCTAGCTAATGGGTTTAGCTAGACATAATAGCAACAGAAATTGAAGAAGTAGTAGATAAAATCAACATATTAATTAACTAGGATGTTAATCTACAAGAATCCACGATAAACCAAGATGAAAATGCCCAAAATAGGCTAAAACTTGAGTCTCACGAGTGCTGCTGCTATCTGATATCTAAAACTTAACCTAGAAATAATAAAATATTCTATTTATACTAGGCTAGAAAAACTGAACAAAAATTCCCCTGCGGGGCTGGCGCGGACCGCGCAGAAATGCAGTGCGGCCGCGTAGGGGTCTTGGCCTTCGATCACTCACTTCTGAAGCTGGGGACGCGGACCGCACAAAGAGGTAGCGCGGCCGCGCAGGCTAATGGGCGCGGACCGCACAACAATGAAGCGCGACCGCATGGACACCAGCGCTGACCGCGTAGAAAGGAGCGGGGACCGCGCATGGAAAC